TCCTCCTCCTCCTCCTCCTCCTCCTCCCCCTCCTCTTCCTCCTTCCCCTCTTTCGCCTCCATTGGACGCAACTCCTGGGGGGGGCCGACCCATCGGGGGGAGTTGCTGTCGCGGCTTCCGGGCGCTGCGTGATTTACGCTTGTGCGTGTACGTAGCGGCCTTAGGCCCGTCCCGCCACCGCGCCTGGGTTGCGGTTCAGAGGCCTCTTGGACGTTCGTTGGGATCTCGTGGGAAGCTTTTTCGGGGTCCTGCTCGAGGCAGTTCGGTGGCCTCTGGGCGGCTCGCTCGGGGCCTCCTTTGGGCCTGTTGGGGGTCTCTTGGAGGCTTCTTTGGGCCACTCGGAGGCCTCCTGGGGGCCTGCCAGGGGCCTCTTTGGGTGGAAAGCTTGAATTTTCGGCTCGCGGCCCCTTTCTCGGGCCCCTCTCGGGGCCCTTCTGGGGCCTTCTTGGGCTGCCTGTCTCGACGTCCCCTTTGGCCGTCTTGGGGCCCTCTTGGGCCGTCTTGGAGCCTCGTCGGGGGCCTCTTGGGCCGTCTCGGGGCGGTCTTGGGGGCCTCTCGGGAAGCCTTCGAGCGTCGGCTGCCAGAGAAGGCGGACAAAACCAAAAACGCTGAAACAAACAAAACAATGAAAGTTAACGATGTTGGCCTCTTGGAGACATCTTGGGCCGTCCGGAGGTCATCTTGGGCGTCTTGGGACGATGTTTCGGCGACTCGGAGCCCTCTTGCACCGTCTTGGAGGGATCTTGGGGCCCCCGTGGCCCGTTTGGAGGCCCTCGACGCCCCCCGGCAGAATTTCCCGGGCAAAGCATGCCACCCCCTTAGGCCGCTCGGGGAGGCCCCCCCCTTCAAATCGACCAGGCAGGGTTCCCGGTGCAGGGGTTTGAGAAGGTCGGCGGCGGCAAAGAGGGGGGTGATGACGAGGGGGGGTGGACATCATGGCGGGGTCCATGACATTTCCACAGATTTCATGGCGCCTCTTCTTATTCCATTACGTCCCTGGACCCCCCGCTGTGCCGCGCACATGCCGCCGGTCATGATTTGCGTCCCCCCTCTTGGACGCCCCCCTCTTGGCCGCCCCCGAGAAGGGGGAAGCATCTCACGCGCAGATGATTCCCAAGGGGGTTGGCGGATTCAGCATCGGCGCTGGCATAACTGTAGTCGAAAGCTGGCCTAATCCAGCAGTCTAGTTTGCATTTGGCTTAGTGCTGGGCATCGCGGTTGGCGGGCGGGGCGATGAGTGGTTCTCGGCAACGTCAGGGGGGATTGGTTCTCGGGTGAGCGTCGACCCCCAATCGCCCATTCGTCACCGACAAGAGTCCGATAGCCCCAAGGAGCTACCAGATGATTTGAGGAGCAACATATGCGTCACAAAGTCAGGAGTGTGACCATGTATGTCGTGCCGGTTGGCCACCGAGTCGCTTTCTAATTCGGGTCACAACATGTTTTTTTTTCGCCGGCCATGAAGAATCTGCTCTGGGGAAAGGGTCGGAACGTGCGGGGGCCTTGCATTGAACAAAAGAGCAAGGCATCGAATATCAAGCACCTCCCCCTTGCCAGCGCCCCCCTTGGCGCTCTCCGCGCGCCAGTGACGGAGGTCCAGAGCCAGTCCAAGAAATCTGCGCTGATACTCGCAGCGTCTACTTCTGCAGGTTGTTTTTCCTCCTAGAAGCAGGGGCCGGGCAGGGGCATAGAGGGGACGCAGACCGATGCGCAACCTGGAAGCCAGAATGGCGACCACGGGTACAGGTCGTGAACGGGTTCGGGCATGCACGCGATCGCGCGAGGCTGGGCGAAGCGACGCTGGAATTTTGCCTCCCCGCCCTGGCCTTGGCCTGCAGGTAAGCACAGTCCAGCACCACATAGCCGTGCGGGCCCTGTCCAGCCCTTGCCAGTGCAGGCAGTCCCGTCCAGGTCCAGTCCAGCACCCGCCGCGCGCGCGCATTCCCGGCTCTGCCGCCGCCGCTGCCGCCGCCGCTGTCGCCGCCGTCGACACAGTGTCATTCATATGCACATATAAAAAAGCCCCTTATCGCCCCATGGCGTACGACGGTGCCGGCTTGCTTCCCTCGACAGAGGCCCCCCCCCCGCATTGACGCCAGTTGCAGCCAGCGCAAGCGGGCACAGCACAAGAGGACCCCCAAGACGGCCCCAAGAGGCGAAGACCGTACCATTCTTCAGGAAACCGCATGTGTTCACCATCTTCGTTTTTGGGCCTTAGCAGCGTCCAAGACGGCCCAAGATGCCCCAGAGATCGCCCAAAAATGGCCCAAGAAGCGGGACTGAGGATTGGCGACGGCGATGACGACGACGACGTCGCCGAAGACGACGACAGCGTTTCACACACGACCAAGGGTCTGCTGATTCTCGATCTTTGTTGAAATATACCTTGCGGTTAAGTCTCTCAGCTTCGCCCGTTGTCAACATTGTATTTGTGGTGGGTCGCCGATTTGATCGATGCGTTATTGTAATGTTGAAGAGGTGGTTTCCTGCCAAGACTTGGCTGCTGTTGTCGTCGTTTGTTATTGTATTCTCGGTTCCACAAGAGTGTGCCGGGAGTGGTATGTGTTGTATACAGGCGTTGTTGCGCACGCGGCTGCTGCAGTTTACACAGGCATTGCGGTGTACACACGCGACGTGGTACTGTGGTGCGCGCGTCTGCTGTGTTGTACGGATGCATTGTGGTGTACGCAGGCGGCGTCGTGCTGCACGCAGGCATTGGGCATTGTCGTGCGCACAGGGACTGGGACTGGCGCGCAGGAATTGGGCATTGTCGTGTACACAGGGACTAGTGCACACAGGCGATTGATGCGCCGGTGGCTCGGACTCGTTCTGGAGGGTGCACGCTGCAGCCGCCGTTACCGTTCCCCCCCCGCCCCACCCCCCGGGTGACACCTGTTACCCCCCGAGGACAAACGAAAGAGGCCAAATCGAAAGAGGACCAAACAACAGCGGACGAAATGAAAATCCCCCAGGGCAGGGGGGGCCGGGGTAGGAGGGAAAGAGGAGGAGTGCCGACTTGGGAGTGGGGAGGCGATGGCTGGCTGCCGCGGGGCAGGTGGGTCGGCGACCTGGACTCGCCGCGTGATGCGAGTCGGAGGAGGAGCAGGAGGAGGTGGATGTACAGAGGAGGAAGAGGAGGGGGAGGGGGTGGGGAGGGGGGAGCTTCGCCATCACGTGACGAGATCGCTCCGCCGAAGGGTGGGCGGCGCGACCGGGACGTGCGTCCCGGGGCCAGGAGGACGACCTGGTCTACGTGCGGTGCGGCGGCCTGGACCGTGCGCCACCGCCGCCCCGCGCAGCTGCCGAGCTGCTCCTGGGGGGTCTCTCCCGGGCTCTGCGCTGCAGCGGTGGCCCATGCCAAGGAACCCAGGGGCGTGGATTGGCGACGGGTCCCGCTTCCAGGGGGAATCGCAGATTCCCGCCGCCGAGCGAGGCGGCACCGGCCGCATTCAAGGGGGGGGTGCACCTTCTCCCTCTCCATGGATTAGGCGACCGCGCGCCAAATCCATGGATTGCTAATCCATGTCTACGTGCTCACGAGAAGCACCCTGTCTGCCTCCAGGGTGCCCTGGATTTCTCGGGTTCCGATGGTTCTGTGATGGGAGGCGTGACGCTCCCACGCCAAAAATCAGGGGACGTCCCGGGGTCTCAGGGTTGGGTTTCTTGTGGAAGGCTTCTTGTGGACTGGCCTCCACTGTACGGTAGGTTCGTGTCGTGCCGATGCGGAGGTGACCCCGCCGCGGGCATTCAAGGCCGAACGCCGCCAGATGCCCAGAATCAACCAATATGGAACGAACTGGCGATCGGAAAACTAACGATCGTTCCGGGATGAACGATCCACGTCGTGTCAGAGACCACCGCTGGGGTCGTCATGACACGAGCTCGTACCTCATTGGAGGCCAGGTTTGGGGGTGGCTTAAGCCCGTTTCTTTACTGCTTGGGGCATGACGGGCGCCCCCGCTCCCCCCCCCTGACGTAACGCTCCCCCCCCCAGTGCGCTCCGGGCAGTGCCGCCGTGCGTTTTGGGGTCCGCGTAGGAATCCGCATAGGGGTCGGGTCCGCAGTCGTCGTCGTCGTCGTTGTCGTCGTCGTCGTCATCGTCGTCGTCGCTCGTTGCTTGTCGCTCGTCGCTCATGGTCGTCGTGCGGCGGACGCCGGGCCGATGACGGCAATCATCTAGGGGGGATGGAGGAGGTCGATGTCGTCACGTTTCGCGCCGGCGGCGTCTGGGAATGCCTAGGAATGACGGAGGACGGGTAGCGCCAGCATGTAGGTGGCGATTTGCACCACAACGCCTGTGTACACCACAGTGCCCCCGTGCACCACAGCGCCTGTGTACACCACACCGCGTATGTACACCACAGCAGCCGCATGCAACACAGCGTCAGTTTGTGCCACAGCGCCTGCGGGCACAACAGCTTTTGTGCACACCACAGAGCTTGCGTACACCACATCAGCCGTGCGCAACACAACACCAGTGTACACCACAATGCCTGCATGCATTGCAGTGCCTGTGTGCACCACGGCGCCTGTGTGCACCACAGCAACCGTGTGCAACACAGCACCATTGTTGCATATAGAATGTTACAACGAATCCTTATGACAAAACAGAGCGCTTGTGGATTCTACAGAGACCAATCGAAGAAATCCTTATCGCCAACGGAGCGCCGCTGGAATCTACGAGTCCTCCAGAGCCCGCCCGCATCACCCTAACTACTCCCATCTGCGTCCAGGAGGCTCCAGCTAAATTGGCCGTCCGAGAACCAAGTGGACCGATTCAATCGATCATTCTGCGGTGCGCGCTGGGAAGCGCACGTGCGCTGTGGCGCCAACCCGCACGACAGGGAGTAACGAGTAGGAGGAACAGGAGGAGGAGGAGGAGGAGGAGGAGGAGGGGGAGGAGGAGGAGGAGGAGGAGGAGGAGGAGGAGGAGGAGGAGGAGGAGGAGGAGATGGAGGAACAGGCGAAATGAGGAGGAGGGAGAGGAAAAAGGAGGACGA